AGATCTTGTCAGAGACGATTATGATAACAAAGGCAAGAGACATTTTGACAAGTCTAAGGTGGAATGCTACAGATGTGGACGCCTTAGACATTACAAAAATCAATGTTAGACTAGGCTCAAAAAGGAGAAAAGAGATCAATCCAAGTTTGTGGAGAAAAGAGAAGAAGAAACATCGTTAATGTCATTCCATGCTATGAAGGTTGCAGATCAAGGTGTATGGGTCGTAGACTCTGGATGCAGCAACCATATGACAGGATGTAAGGAATGTTGTTTTTCGATAATCAGCCAGAGAAATTCGATGAGAGGAAATCGTTGACGGGAGGTTGTTAGAAGAAAAATAAAATGCTTAAAATAAAAGAGAGAGAATGACTGAAATTTTGGATGCGTTAAAAAATCAGGTGGTTACATATTCTGAACGGATTTCCTATTTAAATATAAATTATCCTAAAAATGGCCGGAGAGTGACCAACTAAATATGTGCCACTCCCTACAAAATTTTCGTCTAAAACTCTGGTGATCCATTAGACGTGTTTTGTCAAATGGTCAAACGGAGGTATTCTGAAATCGTGTGAATCTAAATAAGGAACAACTGAAAAAACCCAGGTTTTATCTAACAATCTCCTCCTAAAACCTGTGGTATATCTACCTTATTATTTGAACTCCGATCTTTGAGCGTAGTTCTTTAAATTTCACCCACGCCAGGGACTTGGTGAAGATGTCTCCAAGTTGTTCCTCTGTTCGGATGTAATCAATCTTGATGAGCCCTCGATCTGCACATTCTCGAATGTAGTGGAATCTGATTTCTATGTGCTTGCTCCGTTCATGCAAAACTGGATTTTTGATTAGGGAGATCGTAGCTTTGTTGTCTACGTATAGCATTGGTGGATCACTTTCTCTCGCGATAAGTTCTTCCATTAGTCGCGCAAGCCAGATCCCTTGTGTTGCTGTCATCAAAGCGGCGATGTATTCTGCTTCGCAAGAAGACAAAGCAACTACCTTCTGTTTTATTGAATGCCAGCAGATTGCGCCGCCTGAGAGAAAGTAGATCATTGCGCTAGTGCTCTTACGATCATCAACGTCACCGGCCATGTCACTATCACTGTAGCCGACCAGCTTGAGTTTCTCCTTTCCGCTCCCTGCGCAGTATTTTACACCCCAGCCTCTGGTTCCGGCTACATGGCGTAGGATGCACTTGACAGCCACTAGATGCTCCTCCCTAGGTGCTTCCATAAACCGGCCCACATATCCAACAGAATAAGCAAGATCAGAACGAGAGTTTACCAGATAGCGCAGACTTCCGACAATGCTGCGGTAATTGGTGGAGTCGACTGTCGTCGTAGTGCCAGCCTTCCTTAGTTGGAGTCGGGCCTCCATTGGCGTTCTTGTAGGATTACTGTCCACAAGCCCAGTTGTGTTCAGCAGCTTCTTCGCGTATGCACTTTGGCAGATGGAGATGCCAGTAGAATTTGATGGCACTTCGATGCCGAGATAGTAGCTGAGCACGCCGAGATCGCTCATCTCAAAGTTTTTCGACATCTCCTTCTTGAACCTTCTGAGGACTTCCACGTCACCTCCAGTGATTATGAGGTCGTCGACGTACACTCCCACGATCAGTCGCTTCTTGCCATGGCCGTGCGTGTACATGCCATGCTCAGAGGCGCAACGTTTGAATTTCAGTGACAGTAAGGTACTGTCGAGCTTCGCGTTCCAGGCTCGTGGAGCTTGTCGAAGCCCGTAGAGTGCCTTGTGCAGGCGTAGTACTTTATTGGGGTTGTCGTTGTCCAGGAAGCCAGGTGGTTATCGGACATAGACGATCTTCTTCAGCTCTCCGTTAAGGAAAGCAGACTTTACGTCCATATGGTGAACCTCCCAAGAGTAATGTGCCGCAATTGCCAGCAAGAAACGAACGGATTCTAACCTTGCCACTGGCGCAAATACCTCTTCGAGGTCCACTCCTTGCTTCTGGACGTAGCCCTTCACCACAAGACGGGCCTTGTGCTTCACAACTTCTCCTTTTTCGTTGCGCTTTAGTTTGAAGACCCATTTGTGCCCTATGGCTTGGTGTCCCGGCGGCATATCCTCCAAACTCCACGTCTGGTTCTCGGTGATGGATGTCATCTCCTCCTGCATTGCCTTCAGCCAGCACGGGTTCTTTTTTGCTTCGGCGAAGGTGTTCGGTTCATCTGCACTGATGGCATGTAGTTCGGCCACTTCTTCGAGCTCGCGCGCTGCCAGTCCAGGTGGTTCACCTCCTCCTACTAGGTTGTCCATCCTTCGGTACCTGACCTCCAGATCAGTATCGTGATCGGCATCCACCGTCGAATCTGCAGTCCGTGGTGTTGCGTATTCCACTGGTTCAGAGGTTGCACCTGCTGGCGGCGGTGACGGCTGCTGATGCTGGGCTTCTCCTTCTTCCGGCTCGGTGATGAGGTACTTCACCGTGAATTGATTTGGATTATGGTCTGCCTCGATCACGTCGTTCCACTGTCAGAAGGTGTTTTCGTCGAAGACGACGTCGCGAGACACGTGAGCTCGCCCCTCTACAGGATCATATAGTCTGTACGCCTTGCTCCCGGGTTCATAGCCGATGAAGATGACCTTCAGCCCCCTAGGAGCAAGCTTGGCGAGGTGGGGACGTGTTACCTTCATGTATGCGACGCAGCCGAACATGCGGAAATGATGTACCGCTGGTTTTTTGTTGTACCAGGCCTCATATGGCGTCTTCCCGTCAAGGCTTCAGGTTGGTGACCGATTGAGGAGATAGACGGCCGTCATTACTGCCTCTCCCCAGAATCTTTCAGGCATCCCGGTCGTCACCAACAATGACCTTGCTGTCCCAGGCATCCCGGCCGTCACCAACAATGACCTCGCTGTCCCGACGATGGTCTGATTTTGGCGCTCCACCACTCCGTTCTGTTACCAGATAGACGGCCGTCATTACTGCCTCTCCCCAGAATCTCTCAAGCATCCCGGCCATCACCAACAATGACCTCGCTGTCCCGACGATGGCCTGATGTGGGTAATACTAATTGTGGAAGAAGGAGTGAATCCTCATAAGCCATGTGGGTAATTAGCAGTGTATTATTATACAAAAATGGCGGAATTCAGTCCCACTCCAAAAGTCGATTCGCCACACCAAAAAGTCGATACACCACCACTCAAAATGATAGTACTTTTCGATGCACCACCACTGCAAATGAGAGCACTTTTCTATAAACCACCTATCCTAAAGCGAGATTCAGTCATTGCGATTTCACTCTTGATCTGAGTCTCCCGAAGGTCAAGACGAAGACTCAGACCTCATGTAGCCCACTCCAACGGGTTATGTCGGTGGAATATCACCCTTCATCTTCTCATTCTCATCCTTGGTCTCTTTGTATCTCTCGAAAATCTCACTTTCTTTCCGATTTAATTGATCATTTAGAGTCAGATTTGCTATCTGTAGTTATATTAACTCATACCTTAGAAATTGGATAATTGATTTTCCAATGTGATCTAGGGAAGACAAGTCATTTATATGAATTGGGTCTGTATCAACCCATACATCTTTTTCATATACTGATATCCTCTTGTGCCCCAGCTTAAGGCCGAGCGTGACCAGGCTGTCTTTCTTGAAGATGTTCAGAGTGTGCCAATCAATTCTGAATTTGGATTCTATCGATACCTGTTCTGTATGAGATGGGTTTTTGTACAGTTTCTCAAACCATTCCGGCATGATCATGTTTTTCGCTAGTCCCTTGTACTTGAGTACATTTTGTCCTTCTGTTGAGATGTAAAAAGTATCCTTTTATGATTCTGTCCTCTAGCTTAAACTTGCCCAAGACAGAAGAAGAAATCTCTTCATTAGGTAGTGGGCGACCAAGCACAACTGAGTCTGTGTCAGTATAGTAGCAGTCCTCTCTTGAGATATAAGGGTACATATGGATTCTAGCGGAGGCTGTTATCGCAGCAGCTAGTTGGACAACTGAGTTCTTCGGTGGATTCCAATAATCATCGCCCTTCTCGGTATTGCTATGGTAGGCAACGATGTAGGTATTTTCGCTAAGCATATCGCCGAATATAAACTCACTATTCTTGATTAAATTTTTGTATCGATATTCATCGCAGATCTCTGTTGTCGTGCTTTTAGGGTTAATGCCAAATCTTCCGTATAGGGAATTCATTAGTATCTTGTAAACATAGGACATTGCTTCATTACCTGATTTCCTCGCTTCTAACCTGCTCTCAAAGAGTGAGCTAACAAAGCTCGTGAATGGGCTTTCCATCCTCTTAAAGAGGTAGCCGGAGATTGGGAGCACGGTGTATCCTAGGCCTCTAGCATACTTTAACTCCTCGGTATAGTAGACTCCAACAAATTATCTAGTTGGAAAGAGGAGAGTGTCATTCTTGTCACGATAGGGAAGAAAGGGTTTTTTGATAGTCTTCGGACATACCACATATGCCTCAATAAAACCAAACATGCTATCTAAGTCCTTGCTTTCCAGATTAGAATGCCAGACAGGTTCACCACCCGGCATTGGAAATTCCTTCATTACAAAGGGATAGAGAGAGTTCACATCGTAGTAGTAGAGGTTCTCACCATATGGCTTGTATGTATCTGCATGACCTCCGTAGTAGGCACGCCTTATGAAGGTGTCTTCATGCTTGTTTGGGATGTGGATTGGAAAATTAGATACATCGTAGTATTTAAAACGAAAGATGCTAAGAGCAAGTGAGGGAAGGGTTATCTTGCTTTCAATGTCCACCTCGTACACCTCCCAATATATCTCTTGAGCTTTTTGCATTACTCCACCCAATAGACGAATATCCTGTTTCATATAATCCAACAATTCTCTCTTATTATTAATCAGATCCTCCACTTTCAGTTTGTCATATGGGATTGAGATGGAGCCTTTAGGGCCAAGATCGGGGCAAAGATTGTTGCCAAGGGAGCTCAGTTTGCTAGGGAGTAGATTCAAGGAGTCTCTGAAGCGGAATAACATCTTCTTACCTGAATAGACTGCTAACTCGTAAAGCCTATTGTTCCTCATCAGTGGTTTAAGCTTCAAGCTCTTGTGATGATATGCTAGGTGCTTAAGCAAGAGAATTCCATCGAATCTAGAGAAGTTGTGGAAGTAAATAGTTGATTTTTCTCTTCGAACAAGACTTTTGATCTTTAATACTAAGTCATAAAGTACTTTTGTACTCCTGTCTTCAAAGGAATCCAAGATTATAGAGTAGTCTTCACTGAAGAAGTGAGAAATCCTACTGTTATTTATCTTATCACCGGGACAAACCTTCATTAGACCAGCAACATAAGGCTTATGAATGTTATCAAGATATAGAGTCTCGATATCGGCAACTATGAATGATTTCAGCTCACTCCTCCGTGGTTTGAGTGCTGTGATATGGGTTGGATAGCGACTATGCGTACCATGTTTGATCTTTCTTGCAGTAATAGGCTCCTCGATCTCACTCAATTTTCCTTCAATGATTGAAGAAAGTGTGTTATATCTCTCCTCCTCTGAGGGAGAAGGCCTATCCTCCTTCTTTTTGTTGTCCATATAGACTCGGATCATGAGTCGAACTATATAATCTCCGTCATAGACTTCTGCATATTTCAGAATATATCGAGATATATGAGCCTAGACATCACTTTTTGGAATTAACTTACAATCCATATAAGTGAGGGGTATAGCCTGACAAAGCGTAAATGTGATCTCCTCCCCGAAAGAGCGCTTCATGGTTAAGGAAATTGTGAACTTACCGTAACCAGATAAGGAAGGGTAAGCAAACTGGTTTAAGAGATCCATGGTTGTAAGACTAAGTAGCGCAATCTCGTTAACAAGAGGGTAAGGCTCATTGAAGTAATATGATGCTATTATTAAACCAGGATGAGGTTCATGGTATGCAGTTCATTCTATCTTTAGAAATAAGCGATACAATAACTGTTCAGTAGTAGCATTGAGAGTTTGATTTTTGTACGCCATCATTTTTTTATTCATTATCAGTAATGGACATAGAAAGAATTCTTCAATTTATATGAAAATTGATTCCACTTTTCCTCATGTGATTTCCATGATTCATAATAACTATTATTTACACCGCACACTCTTTTCACATAGTTACTGTAACAAGTGACTATTTCATTTATCTTTTTATCCCAAAGAATCTGGTTATGCTTACTTATATTCTCTGGAATATTTTTAATTAAAAATTCAGTAAGATATTTCTTGGAAATAACAATTCTTTTCATAATCAAATGAATTTCTACATTTAAAATTCTCAATAACATTTATATAGATGAACTTGTTAATGATTGAAAGTGGAGGGCCCAAGCTACGAAAGACTTCGAGATAAGCCATTGGAATAAATGGGCTTTTCTCAATTGTTGTTATAAAGTTGTCGTGGACAGTGTATATAGGAGCATTACAATTCGGCATTTCTTCAACTACTTTCATAGAAATAAAGGCATCCTTCTGATGGATGAAATTGACGAAGGTAGAGATCTCTGTCTTCCTACGATCTCTCTTAGAAGAAGACACTCTGAGAGTAACCCGACGCCTCTTCTTATGAAGTCGGTCATATACCCATATATAAGTTGACTCCATTTTCATATAATCCTGAACACTTGTAAAGTAACTAACATTATATTTAACTGCACTATCCCTAGAAGACGCGACCCAGCCTATAAGGCGTATCAACCTGATCAGGCATTCCATTCCAGGATATTTTTCTTTGAAGAACTTAAAGCAGACAGGGGAAACTTTGAAGCATTCCTTACTCGTAAGGTGTTGAGAGAAATGTACCATCAGATCGGTTGATGTGCTCATTACAGTTTTTCCATAGATAATTGGCATAAAGATTGATTTAACAATCTTGCGAGAGAGGTGTTTGCAAACAACCGAACATAAATTAGGATCAAGTTCAGGTTCTGCTTTCATGAACTCCTTAAGCTCTGCGAGGAAGTACAAATAAACATCTTGGATTTGATTTGGATTATCCAGAGATAGGAAGAGATTTGTTCTCTTAGCCAGGCTCTCATCCAATAAAAAGTAACTCATAATCTGATATGCACTTGATGCTGCGTCCTGGGTAATAGGGACAAAGTCTTTTAAAAATTGAAATTTGTGATTTTGCATTGCATAAATATTGGCTGCAAACTGAAAAGGCCGTTTAGCCAACGTTATGTTTTGAGATATAATTTTATTGTCTTTGTTATTAAAATTGTTGATAAAATCCACTGCTTCAACCATTGAGTTGAAAGACTGAAAATGGAAGAATGTTGATAAGCTAATTTCATCTCTTATATAAGAATTACATTTTATCTCCTATATAAGAATTACATTTTATCTCCTCCTTCTGATGATTATGATTAGCAAATACAATCAGGCTTCGTGCTAGATCACACTCGTGGAAATGCAAAATACCACAGCGATAAATTCGACCTCTGAAGTCAAGAAAGGCGGGTAGGTAAAATTTATAGCCATCGTAGGCTCTTGCGAGATTGAGAATCAATCGTTCATAGCGAGAACGTTGGATAGTCTTAATCACTATATGTAACAAATCGTTAAAGGAAAATTCATTGTATATCACCTCATCCTTCATGTGGAAATCTTTAAGAATGAGGCTAACATCTCGGATATTCATCGTTTCCAAAAATTGTGGCATAAGAAGACCATCGTCAACAAAATCGTCTTCATTTTCCATTAAATGGTTCAACCAATCACTGTTGATTGTAAAGGGCTGACGCTGCGGCGCATTCATGACTTTACACATAGACTTGTAATCATTCTTATAATAAGAAGAATAACCTATATATATAAGTGATTTAGGTCACCAGAACTTAATAAGCAGTAACGATCATAAATCTCACCAGTCGGTCCACTTAGGTAACCCCTTGATAGATCAGAGAGATATCTAGGAGATTGATTCCGCGGACACACACTCTTCCAATCAAGAGGTGGGCATATCATAGGAAGGTTGAGCTTGATCGGAAGTAAAGTAACATCAAAATTACAAACAATGAATAGATTGCTTGCATAATAATAGCCACCTTTCGACTTTTTCTTAACACCACTACCAAAGGATTCCATTGCAATAGAACTGACCAATCCCCGCTCCTCCATAAACTCGAGTAAGAAGACACCGAAGGAAAACGTCTCAGACTTTTCCATTTTATCAGACATATGAACATTAGAAATGCTCTTTTTAGAGGAGTGGGATTTTAATAACCAAGAATGTGTACGGACAGAAGAGTCGAGTTGATTAATTAAAGAAGCTGCACGAACCATACTTTCGGTTTCTGATGTGTTGAAAACTATTCCCAGAATGTGAATAATTAATGCCTCTAGAGTATATTGACCGAACTCTTCAAGCATTTTTATGTCATCATCATCAGCTAATTTCTCAATTATATAATCCTTTGCACTCAATTTATCCTTCTGGATTAAGATTTTAATCAAGTTAGGAACTGCATTATATATTGAACTCTCGTCGAACTTCATACTGTCATCTTCTATTTTCTGTTGCAGCTGACGTAATTCTATTTCCGATAAAGGAAACTTCGATTTATATTCTTCCATAAGATTCAATACTAACTGTTTATACAATTGAGATTTGCTCCTCTTAACCTCTTCTCACGGAAATTTCAATTTATTTTTTTCCTCTAAAGAAGTATAAAAATGATTTAAAAATACGATTAGCTCTTGATAATTTTTTTGCTTAGAATTCAAAAACTCTAAAATCCATTTATTTTTCATTGCGTTATTTTTTTTCATAATGTTTCCTCATTGGTGGTTTTTCGAACTAAGGGAATTAGCCTGTTCGATTTCTTTTAGACAAGGTGTCTCAACCATGTGTGATCCTGTCTCCCGAAACTGGACCTACCTCTAGATACTAGAGAAAGGGTACTATTTCAGGTATAGTACTTTTTGTACTTGAACTTTTACTTTTGTGAGTACTTTTTAAGTAGCATTAGTTCAATAATGTTAGTACTCTAAAGGGTAACTGAATTGTAGTAGTACTTTTTATTTTTTAAGGAGTAATTAGTGTTAAGTATGTCTATTCTGTATTATATCTCTAAAGGGTAACAGATTTTGTGGAAGCAGCCTGTCTCATCGCCATCGCTGGTGCTTGTGTTGCTCATCTCGCTCGCCGATTTGAAATTGGCTCCTTAGTTGGTGACACCTTTGCTACACCCAGCTAACATCGTCGTCGATTACCTCCATCTCCGTGGATTTGGAATCCATAATGGGGACACATGTACTTACCATGAAGAGAGCTGGCTCGTCCTCCTCGGATTGAGCCACATGGGCCTTTTCGGCCTTCTCCTTGTTCCTAAGCTTGCTCCAGCAATTCCTGCTCAGGTGTCCTCTCTTCCCACAATTCGAGCATATCGGCCTGTCATTGGTCAACTCCTTCTTTTGATTTCCATCTTTCCCGCGCGCCCATGGGACATCCATGGCTTCTTACCGTCTTTGCGACTGGAGGAGGACCCGTTGCTCTCGCCGGTGTTGTCGCGGAGCTTTAGGTGTGCAAGCCATTCCACCTCAGTGAGGAGTAGACGACCCTCCTCTTGTCAACAACTGAAATGGTATTTTTCTTCTGCTGCTCGACCTTACGCAGTCTTCCGGTCATCTCTTCCTCCACAGTTAGGTCATTCACGTCAAGCAATCTCCATCACCACCTGCAGCATCTTCTTCACAATTTCTGTCTCGCTGATGCTGTCACCACACAAGTGTGGTGATGCGCATCACAACAAGATCCATTTGTTATACTCATTATCTCAATTGAAGTACTGAGCCTCACAATATTGTGAGGCTCAGTACTTCAACTAGTCCCCGCTCATTATCTCAATTGAAGTACTGAGCCTCACAATATTGTGAGGCTCAGTACTTCAACTAGTCCCCGTGTTCCTCGAATGGATCTCTTAGTTGTTGAGAGGGTTGCCCAAAAGCAGTATATAAGGCATACCCAGTAAAACTTACAAGTAAACCAGATATAGAGATGGCAACTAGGGTTGCTGTTTCCATTATTATATAATTTCAAGACCACAATGGATCTATGATAAGATCATTTATTTACAACGGAATGGTATACAAAGTCAACAGATCTCACTGAATAAACAAAAATATAGGATTATTTATGGCTACACAAACCGTTGAGGATAGTTCTAGATCTGGGCCAAGACGAACTATTGTAGGGGATTTATTGAAACCATTGAATTCGGAATATGGTAAAGTGGCTCCTGGGTGGGGAACTACGCCTTTGATGGGTGTCGCGATGGGTCTATTTGCGATATTCCTATCTATTATTTTGGAGATTTATAATTCTTCCATTTTACTGGACGGAATTTCAAGCAATTAGATTCGATTCACAAGAACCCCTAAATAACTTTTCAATAAAAAGTAAAGTCTAAAGTATGTAGGTTTCCGCTTTTTAGCCCACTCTTTTTTGGTAGTTCGATCGTGGAATTTCTTTTTTTCTGTATTTCCGGAATATGAGTGTGTGACTTGTTAGAATTGATCCTATGGATACGACAGAGAAGAAGTCGGTCATCTTGATCAAGATGATTTTATCTCCTTGGATATTCAGTCTAGGCTAGTATCTGGAGCACAGAATATATGAAATAGATTCCAAACTATTATAAAAAATATTAGAACTATGATTCATACTTATCAGACCTCGTGGCCGGACTCCGAAAAAAGAGTTAGAAGTGAGAAATTCAAAAAATTTTATTCTAAACGGTTTCTTTGTCTTTCTTTCATGATATTCAGTCATTGAAGGGTTCTTTACACTTTTTGTTGTTTCCCTCATCACCCATTCAACAATAACTCGACGACCATCATCACGCTTGAGATGGGCCCCCCTAATGTGTGTGTTTTTAGGGCCCCCCTAATGTGTGTGTTTTTACACTTTGCATTTTCTTTTACTCAAACCTGAGATTTATATGTTGTTAAATCAACGCTCTAACCACTTGAGCTATTCAACTTGTTTGTTGATAGGTTGACTTCTCCGCAATGATATACACTGATGGCTTCAACTTGGCTCTGATACCACTTGTTGTTTTTCGATAATCAGCCAGAGAAATTCGGTGAGAGGAAATCGTTGACCGGAGGTTGTTAGAAGAAAAATAAAATGCTTAAAATAAAAGAGAGAGAATGACTGAAATTTTGACTGCGTTCAAAAATCAGGTGGCTAGAACAGATTTCCTATTTAAATATAAATTATCCTAAAAATGGCAGGAGAGTGGCCAACTAAATCTATGCCACCCCCTACAAAATTTCCGTCTAAAACTCTGTGATCCATTCGACGTGTTTTGTCAAATGATCAAACGGAGGTATTCTGAAATCGTGTGAATCTAAATAAAGAACAACTGAAAAATCCAGGTTTTATCTAACAAGGAATTCTTCTCAACTCTGGAGGAACATTTTCATACTACGGTTTGTCTTGGCAACAATTCAACTATCCAAGTGATGGGAAAGAAACCATAGATATCAAGACTAGAAATGGCTTTGTAGAGTCAATTTCTAATGTATTCTATATTTCTGATCTGAATGTCAACTTACTCAGTATAAGTCAGTTACAAGAAAAGGGGTATGTGTTCACATTCCAAAATAATGAATGTGAGATTTATGACTCAAAAAGAGGATTGATTGCTAAGATGAAGATGACCACCAACCGTCTATATTCGTTGATGTTAAATATCATTGCCATAAGTTTGATGGTGAAGAAAGAAGATACCAACTGGTTTTGGAATTTAGGTATGATCATCTACACTTTAAAGGATTAAAGATGTTGTCTTCAAAGAAGATGGTGACTGAGTTGTCAGACATCACTCCTCCAATAGAAATTTGCGACAGCTGTGTAGCAGCAAAGCATGAAAGAAATTTGTTTCCATCCGAAAAATCAAGAAGAGCTCAAGTAATTTTGGAGTTGATTCATTCAGACATATGTGGTCCGATCTCTCCAGCATCAAATAGTAACAAGAAATATTTCATGACCCTCATCAATGATTATAATAGAAAAACATGGATTTACTTCTTGCATGCTAAATTAGAAGCCTTTGATTGCTTCAAGAAATTTTATGCTTATGAAGACTGAAACTGGAAGAAGAGTGAAGGCTTTAAGAATTGACAAAGGTGGAGGGTTTTTCTCTAACAAGTTTACGAAATTTTATGAAGAGAAGAGCATAAGGAGGCAATTGACAGCAGCATATACACCACAACAAAATGGTGTGGTCGAAAGGAAGAATATGATCATTCTCAACATGGTTCGAAATTTGCTAAATAAATGAAAAGTTCTGAATGAATTTTGGCCAGAAGCTGTTGTGTGGTCTATTCACACTCTCAACCGAACACTACTTTCTCTGTAGAGATGTGACTCCACAAGAAGCATGGAGCAGAAGGAAGCCGGCGATAGACCACTTTAGAATCTTTTGGTGCATAGCATATGCACACGTTCCTGATGAGAAAAGGAAGAAACATGAGGACAAGAGTTTGAAGTGTGTATTCCTTGGAGTAAGCGAGACTTCTAAGGCGTACAAGTTCTATGATCCTTTGACAAAGAAGGTGGTGGTAAATCGTGATGTAATCTTTGACGAAAAGAAGACTTGGAAATGGGAAGAAAAGATCACTGTGAATCAGCAGATTCCTGTAGATCTTGAAGAAGAACAAGTTGAAGCCTCTAGTCAGCCTCACTATAAGCATGGAGAGAGCTCATTACAAGCTCAACAAGAAGAACCAGTAGAAGAATATCATGATCACAATCAAAGAAATCCAAGAACAAGAAAGAGACAAAAATTTGATGATTGATTATGAGATGAACTATGACACAAGTGATAGTGCTTATTTTGCATTCTTTATGGATAGTGATTCAATTGTCTATGAAGAAGCTATAAAAGAAAAGAAATGGAGGGAAGCCATGGACAGTGAAATCGAATCCATAGAGAAGAATAAGGCTTGGGAGGTCACGAATCTTCCTACCGGGCAGAAAACAATTGGAGTAAAATGGGTTTTCAAAACCAAGTTGAGTGAGCATGGTGAGATGGATAAGTACAAGACATGACTAGTTGCAAAAGGATACAAGTAGAAATGTGGAGTTGATTATAAAGAGATATTTGCACTAGTAGCACGTCAAGATACTATAAGGCTTATAATTTCTATTGCAGAACAGAAATCATGGTCTATTTATCAACTTGATGTGAAATTGGCCTTCTTACATGGTGAGCTTCAAAAAGAGGTATATGTGGAGCAACCAAAAGGTTTCGTACAAAAAGGTAAAGAGGAAAAATTGTACAGGTTGAGGAAAGCTTTGTACTGTATGAAGCAAGCTTTAAGAGTATGGTACAGTCGCATTGATTCTCATTTTGAAAAGATAGGATTCACTAAATGCCCATATGAACATACGATGTATGTGAAAACTGAAAAGGGAGGTAACGTTCTCATTATTTGCTTATATGTTGATGATTTAATATTTACTGGCAATAATGAAGAAATGTTTGAACTTTTTAAGAAGAGAATGATGAAGAAATTTGAAATGACAGATATTGGTTTGATGAGATATTTTCTTGGAGTAGAAGTTACTCAAACTCCTGCGGGTAACTTTATCTATCAAAAGAAATATGCTCAAGAATTACTTGAAAGATTTAAAATGGATGAGTGCACATTTGGAACTCCATCAGAATTGAGTTTGAAGTTGCACAAGGATATTGAAGGGGGGAGAGGTTGATAATAGGTACTTCAAATAAATTGTGGAAAATTTGATGTACTTAACTTCAACAAAACCAGACATCATATATGCGGTTAGTATGATAAGTCGCTACATGTAGCATCCAACGGAAAAAGATCTCAGTGCAGCAACAAGGATACTTCGTTATGTGAGAGGAACTTTTGATTTGGGGGTATTTTACAAGAAAGAAGATGATTCGAAGATGGTTGGCTATACAGATAGCGACTATGCAGGTGATATAGATGATCGTAAAAGTACTTTAGGAAGTATTTTCATGATGAGTTTAGGAGCTATTTGCTGGTCTTCAAAGAAGCAACCAATTGTAACACTCTCAACTACAGAAGCAGAGTTTGTGGTAGCAGCGACATGCTCGTGCCAAGCAATTTGGTTAAGAAAAATGCTTGAAATTCTTAATCAGAAGTAACCAGGTACGACGGTTATATATTATGATAGTATGTCAACTATTAAGTTGTCTAAAAATCTTGTGTGGCAAGGAAGGAGTAAGCACATCGATGTTCGATTTCATTTCTTGCGTGATTTGTGTAAAGAAGGCATTATTGAACTCAATTTTTGCCGAAGTGATGAACAAATCGTAGACCTATTCACAAAGACCTTGAAACAACCATTATTCGAGAAGCTTAGAAGAAAGATGGGAATGTGCAGAATCCAAGATGTAGTTCAAGAAGATGAAGTGAAGTTCTTAACTTATTTCTGCAGAATTCAGTTTAAGGGAGGGTATTGAAGGATCACTAGTAAATACATGTATGAATAGATACATGTGTTGAAAGGTCACTAGTCGATACATGTATGAATAGATACATGTGTTGAAGGGTCACTTGTACATGTATAGATACGGGTATAAGTACATGTGTGAATAAATACCTAATTAAATATGTGCATAACTTTTGGATAATTAATAGTAACAGGGAATGACCCAAATTGCCTATACATACATATATATATATATTTTGGCATCGGTGGAATGAATAGAAAATCAATCAAGCATTCATTCATAGATTTACAAAGTTCTCTTCTCTTAAAGAATTCTACCAAATTTCTCTGTTGTCCGAGAGCCAAAATGGAAGACGCCCACCTCGAGTCCATGATAGAAGTACTACTTGACCTGTTTTAAATGTATACTACGCATTCAACACAAGATAGGCACAGCCAATGCATACTAGTTTGTATTTACTTGCTCAACATATACTGATATATCTCATACTTATACATCATTTAATTTATTTAACCAATTATTTAATACATCTTTATATTTACTCGGATAAAAGCGGAAGTTTTCTTCAAATTTGTTATGTAGTGATTTAATTTAAATGATAATTTAAATTCCAACAATAATATTTGTGAGATCCACATTGATAGGAGGCGAGAACGAAACATTTTTATAAAAGTGTGGAAACATCTTCCTAGATTTTAAAATCTTGAGTGGAAGTTTGGAAGGGAAACCCAAAGAGGACAATATCTACCGGTGGTGAACTTGGGCTGTTACAAATAGTATCAAAGCCAAACACAGGATGGTGTGCCAGCGAGAACGCTGAGCCTCGAAGGGGGTCAATTGTGAGATCCCACATCGATTGGAGAGGAAAATGAGTGTCAGCGAGGACGCTAGACCTCGAAGGAGGTGGACACTGAGCGGTATACCAGGGAGGACGCTGATCCCTAAAAGGAGGTGGATTGTAAGATCTCACATTGATCGGAATGAAAAACAAGTGTCAGCGAGGACATTGTGCGCTGAATGGAGTGAATTGTGAGATCCCACATAGGTAGAGAGGGGAACGAAACATTCTTTATAAAGGTGAAAACCTCTCCCTAGCAAACGCGTTTTAAAACCTTTAGAAGAAATCTGGAAGGAAATGTCCAAAAAGCACAATATCTGCTAGCGGAGGGTTTGGCCGTTACGATATCACGTCCCAAAATAAAATATTAAGATTTTAGTTTTAAAAAATTGAATACCAAAAGTATCTTATTCTAAGATCACTCCAAACAAGTATCAATCAGAAAATTTCGATAAATGGTTGGTAGCTGATCTAACATTGTTTGATGGCCAGCTTGGACCCATGCAACCAAATGTAGTATGTGAATGATTAAATTACAAAAACTTTTATGGAAATGCTTCAAAATAAAGACATTTGTTTAGCTGGTAAAAGCTAGAATCAACCAATTATAGAGAATAGCTAATTTCTTAGCCTATATGAAACAAATAGCTGCTAGTCTCCAATTACTCGATTAGATGCCTAGTTTTTACCCTCAATATTACACCAATCAGTTTGAAGTTTTAACATGGTAATAAACCATGAATTTACCTCAGGATAAAACCCATCAAGGAGGCATTATTGAAGGTCACTAAAAGGTGAAAGGTGACAAACACGAGCCACTCCAAGCCAACATGACAAGTATATTGGAAGGTATTGCAATTTATTGTTATAGATATGATAACTAAAATCGTACATGGTAGTGTCAAAGCCAAACATATATAGTCAAACAACAAGTGATGAGTAGCTCATCTAGCTTAGTATGCAGATAGTAGAGCTAGCAGCTATGTGACATTTGATAATGGAGTCTAAATCACAAGGTTTTGGGTTTAGTTGTATGCAAATTTAAGTGTAAAAAATGAATCTAACCTTGAAATTTCTCACCTTTTGTATTATGAATTCTATCTAGGGTAACGGTCCAGGCCCACCACTAATAGATATTGTTCTCTTTGGACTTTTCTCTTCGAGCTTCCTCTCAAAGCTTTAAAACGTGTCTATTAGGGAAAGGTTTCCACACCCTCATAAGGTGTTTCGTTCTCCTCCCCAACTAACATGGGATATCATATCTACCCTCCTTCATCACAAATTTGAATTGAAAATAAAGAATTATTCAAGGGTGTTTAAATTTGTATTAATAAGGTTTCATCTTGATTTTTGCTAGATTTTTGCTAGTGAAAAACAAACTTACCAATAAGGAATAATCTTAAGACAGACCACTCTACATTTTTCTTAAAAGTATGTCTATCTCATCAAACAATATTAAAATGTCAATACCATCTCATGTCAACTTGACATAGTTGTACATTGATTAATTAGAAAAAAGCTACAATGTACATTCAATCATATATTTGCTCTTGAAATCCCTTCATTTGGTACATATGGTAGCATGCCTTTGCCTTACTTTTGTAGCTAATGGACTCGTAAATCATCACATTGTCATCTTGCTTGTTAGGCATAATATGTTCTACCTTCCACTCTTGAAGAAATCTCCTAAACTTCCTATTTTGAATCTTTAACAATCAACCACTCCTTTTAAGAAACGATAGGTGGGTAGAGCCATCTAGGTATGACTTCATATATGCACAACTACAAACTTAACTACATAGCTTGATTAGATATATAATCCACTCATCATTGTCATCATAAATCTAATAGATATTCCCCACTTTAAGTATAAACTCTCATAACTCTACTTTTGGTTTTCCAAAAGGTCTCATACAATTCTATCCATCTATGTAATAGCTCAAGTTCACCGCGCATTCGCCAGATACCCCTTAACCTGGGTCTGGTCTTTGCTCCTACATGGAAATCTGTACCTAGTGCGTCCAACTATCGCAAGAGGTTGGTAGAACGACTAAAAGCAATAGGATGTTTGTTCTAACAGGTCTTTCTTCTTCTTTCCCAAATCGATTGTTTGCTGGGGCGGGTCGCAAGATGTAGAGTGAACGAACCCTCTTTCTCTCCTCTCCTTTACAGTCTCGCCGCTTCGCGCCTCTTCTCGTGGAGCTGCTTCGCCCGGTCTCATTTCGCTCATTCGCCTCGTAAACTAAACTATAAGTCAAGCTCCTTTGGATTGCTCGAGAGCCTCCTCTTAAACAGTCATATCTATCCATCTATGTTACAGCCCAACGCCACCGCTAGTAGATATTGCTCTTTTTGGGATTGTAATAGCTCAAGTTCACCGCTAGTAGATATTATCCTCTTTGGATTGCTCGAGAGCCTCCTTTTAAACAGTCATATCTATCCATCTATGTAACAGCCAAATGCCACCGCTAGCAGATATTGTTCTTTTTGGGATTTCCCTTTTGGGCTTCCCCTCAAGGTTTTTAAAACGCATTTGGTAGGGAGAGGTTTCCACACCCTTATAAAGAATGTTCTGTTCTCCTCTCCATTCAGTCTTCTCTCAAAGTTTTTAAAATGTGTCTGCTACGGATATGTTTCTACACCCTTATAAAGAATCGTTCGTTCCCCTCTCCAACCAATTTGAAATCACATAATCCACCCCTCTTTGGTACTGAATGTCCTCATAGGCACTCGTTCCCCTCTCCAATCGATGTGGGATCTCACAATCCACCCCTTTGAGGCCCAACGTTCTTGCTGGCACTTGTTCCTCTCTCCAATTGATGTGGGATCTCATAATCTAGCACTATCTAGACGACTTATCTTCTTTGAAGTACCACGGATCTTCATTATGACTATACCTTACCGACACAACTTCTTTATTCGACATTTGAGATTCTATTGATTTGACTAAGTTAAAAAAATGGCATGACTTTGTTACCATTGATAGGGACAACAGACCGCCACATTGGCATAATATTGTTCACTTTGACCATAAGAAGTAAAACTTTATTGGAATAACTAATGTGCTCTAGAGAAGAGGAGTCGTCTAGTAGGTAGGACTAGGGAGACTCAATGGTGTACTTTGTTCGATGAGAGAATTATTGAGAATTGTTGGAGTCTCACACGGAAGATCATGGGTATATAAATAACATATACTTTCTTAATGGGTAAATGCAAAAATTGCTAAACATAATAAAAACATCGTGTCCAATACATAACTATTTACTTACAAACAACATAAGTCGTACGCTATCAACATTTGTATAACGACATAAGTAATTGATGGCACGTGGGATTGTTCCAAGATAAAGCTAAACCCATTTGTTTCTACATGATGCTCATTAAGTTGGTCTATTTACTTACAAACAACAAGTACACAAAAGTCTTACGAAAGCAATTCATCAACAAGTAGCCACACAAGAACATCAAAAAGCTTTCTTCGCCTCTGAATTGAACAATTATTTTGAAATCATTGCGTGAGGATCTGATTATCAGACGATAAAAGTTTGTCCACTGATTAAAATTTTCAATCAAATCACTACTAAATCATGCAATAAAATTGAACAGAAATGAACAATTAGGTGACATTGTTTTCATGTTTTAATGAAATATCATATTACAAATAAATGTAGTTAAATATTCAACTAATCTCACAAACCTTAATTGAGGAGTGGATATGTTGAACACAACTCTATGGGAAAACATTCGCACACTAAGATCACTAGAGAAGAGAATACAAGACACCTTATAACCTTATAGAATACTACTACTTTGTATTGATTGAGATTTGTTGGGATGATGAACTAAGTAGGGTGAAGGGGTATTTATACTGGATCGTAGTCGATCTATTCCTAAAATTTCTCGTTTTTTTTTTTTTTTTTCTGAAATACCTAAATCATTTTCTTAAATTTATTCCGAAAATCTCTAAATCATTTTCCTAAATTTATTTCTAAAATCCTAAATCATTTTTCTTAACATAAATATAGTCACTCATACAATGGTTGGGCTAGCGATGATATTTTAATAGGATATAGATCGATCCTTCCCAAAAATCACTTGTAATCGTAAAATATACAATAACAACATTTTCTTTAAAATTGAAATTTTGGTATAACAGAAAAATAAATATTTAACCTAAAATAGATTATAATCTGATGTTAGTTTGGAACACTCCAAGAAAGGTACAAAAATATGATATTCTCAACTGATAGACATAGGACTCTATAGTTATTATTTCAATGGCATTCAAAAGAACTCGTACGAAAAAAGAAATTAAATATCTCAAGACAAGAACACTTGTTTGAGATTCGAATCACTCCACAAGCAAGATTGATCGTGTCGAACTCGAATGATTCTACATGCAACCTAAACTACATAGAATTGCAAAGAAAGTTAGTCATTGATTAAATGAAAGCACAAATGCTATTTTTAGTATATTTTCTAAGTTTATCTTACCG